CGGCGCCGCTGAACGGCGCCAGGCTCGGTGAGGGCCTGCGGGGGTGCGGGCTGGGCTGAGCGGGACATCGCTTGCTGACTGTGCCATGAGACACGAGTTGAGTCCAGAAGCTCTATCAGTTACAGAGAGTTTTCACTACGACCATTAATGTCATCTCTGGTGCGTACGAGACGCTGCTGGCTTCTGAGGCGGGGTTGGTTTTTTGTGTCCCCGTCTACTCTCTTTAACTAATCCTGGTGTACCTGCAGGCAAAGGAAGCTTGTGTGTATGCGATATGTGTATGTACGTAGGGGATACAGGCATAGAGGTGTGTATGTGGCCCCACTTTTTGGCTGGTGCCTGGGGACTTACCTCCTCTTCTTTTTTGAGGTGAAACCCATGCCTCAGCTGAAGAAAATTAAGGGACGGGTAGCCCAGGTTCCTTGTCAGGATAATGCTGAGAATTATCATGAGGGCTTTTACTCCTGCTGACCCTCTGTGTATTTCTGTGTTACCACAGTTTTGCTTGCCTGGAGGAGTTGCCCTGGTTATGACCTGGTTGAACACTTACTGAATTGCTGGGCGGATTACATTCTCTGAAGGGTTTCATGGTTGTCCCTTCTTGCTGAACAGCTAAGAGGATTATATCCTGCACTGTAGGTTTGTTCTGAGTTGCAGCAGTAATAAGCCATGGAGGAGAAGAGCAGACTTAGCTGAACGGGACTGTGTGGGAGGCCTTCTGGTATCCTCCTTGGGATATTCCACCTTCCACTGCTGTGCACACCAGCCAAGTATGGGACAAGTGTATGGTTAGGGTCATGGATGATTTCCAACAGGCACACGGATCCCGTCTGTGTTAGGATGTCTGCAGGCTAGTGTTGGGTGTAAGCTGGTTGTCCCACAGCGTCTGAATAGTCAGTGAAGAGAACAGTTGCCGCCAGCACATCATTCTTCCTTCCTGTTTTCAGATAAGGACAGGTATCAGTTGGAATTTCAGCTGGCTTGAACTGTTGTACTGATTGTATCTGGTTCTAAAAATCAGGCTAAAAATAAGGTGTGGGATTTCTGAAGTAATCGGCACCATTGCAAAAATCAATCCTAAATTATTTTCATGGTGTTTGTTAGTTTTAATGACGCTAAGTTCTTCTGCTCTGCCTATAGGTTGTCCACCATGAGGAAGCTTCCTTCTGTTCTGGCTAGGACACTCACTTCTGGGACCAGTGGCTCCCCAGTGCTTCCTGACATGTCGGAAGGTAAAAAAACTGGCTGTACTTCGGAAGATTTAAAAGCATTTCTAAGGAGTTTATTCTTTCGGGTGGTAGCCCTTCATGTGTTAATAAGGTCTGGGTAATGGACACACCCTTGACTGTTAGCTCATAGTCTAAGTGTTTAGGAGGTAGCACAAAACAACAGTGTGTTTGGAAATTAATGGCAACAAATATGCATAATCACTGAAGTTGCAGATTTAGGGGCTTGTCTGGTTCTGTAATCTTGGAATAGTGTGTGATTCTTTTCTGGAGGGACAACTGCTTCTCAGGCTGGCTCTAGATAGAAAGTCAACGTAGTACAGACAGGTACTGTGACGGCTGGGGAGGATGGCCAAAAAATGGAGTAACTGAGTGGAAATAATGTCTTAGAAAACTTTTAATGTGCCGATACTGTGAATTTTGTGAATTCAGCGAAATCTTTTAATCAGATCAGCAGCATTGCTTCATTAAAATGCTCTTGTCAATAGAGCTTTGTGTTGAAGGGTTGTTTTAGCGCTCTAGTAGTAATAAGACATAATGTTCCTGTTTCAGAAGCTTTTAAAGAAGTTTTCTTGCATTCTAATCCCATGTACTGAGAAAAAGGGAGGAGGAGAAGGGCTGGAGCCAGGTACAAACAATTCCTTCGTGGAGTTCTGCTTGTTTCTGAGATCTTCTTTTTCCCTTTGTTCTCTAAATGGTAACCATAGGTTATCCAGAAAAAGAGAAAATTAGGTTATTTGTTGTCAGAGAACTTTTTTCATTGTTGTTAAGAAATAGTAATTTGGGAGGTTGAAGGAGAGAAGCAAGGGTACAGAATATTGCATACTTGCAAATATTACCCTGTGCTTTTATTTGGATGTTTGGTAATGATGCCACCTAGAAGGCCAGTAAAAATAGTGAAGCAGTGAGGCCATCCTGGCCTTGCCTCTGATTTGTTTCCAAGGAATATAGTATTTTTTTTGGACCATAATAACTAAATATTTGAGATTCTGTTCCAAAATTGCAACATTTAAATAATGGTATACAAACTTTTGCTGATACGTGAACTAGTTTCCTTTAACTTGGTACCCATGCTTTCACAAACCACCAAACACTTAGTAGCTTTTCACATGCTTCCTCCCGAGTTTGGGTCCCAGTTGTGAGTGCCCTCACTTCTTCCATGGCTCTCCCAGAGGCTACACCAAGCAGGACTTTGGAAGTTTCCTCTGAGATAACTCTCATCCCGCTTCCTGGAAAATACCCCAGATACTCTTTCCAAATTTAATACTGTTTGTTAACGGTACATGGTAGCACCAAGCTTGAAACACCGGTTGGAATTACACTGCAAGCAGATGCTACACAGTGATGACAGTAGACAAAGGAACTGGAAAGCTGGCTTTGAAGGAAAGGATGAACTCAGCTGAAAACACAAAGATACTGACTAGGTCAGGCAAGCACAGGTTGCCTACAGTTGCTTACTAAAATTAAGGAACATGTGCGTAAATGGTACTCAAGCAGGTAGAATAATCAGGCAAGCCCTTAATAGATGTAATTTGCATTTTTTTTTTTAATTGTTAATCTAACCTGTGTTTTCCACTCCACAGGACACTTACCCATTCATGTGAATAATGGTGTGTTGTGGTAATCTGTACATATTTTAATATTTGCTATAACGCTAAACTTACTCAGCTACTGTTTTTCCTTATGTCAGCATTTGTGAAAAATGAAATGCTATTCTTCTTCTCTGTCAACTTGCTTAAAGCCTCTTTGCCTTCAGTGAATGGCTCTGATCTTTTTTGTGGGAATACTGTTGTACTAGATCTCTGTTCGCACACTACTTCTGGTGGTGTGCTGGATAATACATTTCTAAGAGGCTTGTGGGATACAAAATCTCTTACATAGCAACTCCTGCAGTACATAGCTTCATTTTAGACATTTGAATCTGCATCTTTCACTGAAGTCTGGACCAAGCTCTATAGGAACACTGGTGGTAAAATACATCCTAGTGGTCTACCTGAACCTGGATACAGCCTGGGGAGGCACGAGCAGAAGGGGGTATGGATCTCATGGGCAGAGATGCATGCAGTGACCTTGTCCAGCTGCCCTCGTGTCTTTCGTCACAGCACAGTGCAAGTAAACGGAGGCCCTGCTGCTCTGGCATTAATGGTCCACTGACCATGGTTAGGAGATACTGTGAAATATGTGATGCGGTAATGATGGATAAAACCCATTTGCTGCAATTGTTTTGTACATCTAAGACGTTTGCCAAATGAGAAAAAAGTTAATGGATTTTTATGCTTAATTACTTAAATTTCTGTTGTAAAATAATATCTAGAAGAGCAATATAGTTTTCCCGGTGAAAAAAGAGAAAAATTATGTACTTAAGAGCCTGTAAAATGGACTGGGTTTAGTTTGGCAAAATTTTAGAAACGCTTTTACGCTTTGTCCTTTTATTGTTAAAATAATGTGGTCTCAGCCTGGCAAATATTTACCTGTATGCCTAAAATGGAAATCAGAAGTCTTAAATGGGACTAACAGTGTACATACATGTTTGCAGGTGTGGACCTGAGATTTTTTTTCAGAGTTTTTTACTTCTTTGGAGTTGAAATGGAAGATGAACCTAGTTTAAGCAAAGAGGAAGTGCTGTTTATTCCCCCTCCATCCCAGCACAGTCTGCACACTGTTGGAAAATTGAGGTTTTGTGTTCTAGAAGCTGTTAACAGTGTTTCTGCTAACACTGTATTGATTGAATGCTTGTTATGGCAGCTTCACAGGTGGGGGCACGAGTAACAGGAAAGTAGTACCTGCTCTGTGAACAAGCCTGCTGCTTCCTAAGAAAAAAAGAATC